CTGGGTGCTGGGGGCGTCTTTTTCTCGGCCGCCTCTGTGAAGTCAATGCTTAAGGGCGAACGTGTGGGCTCTTTTTAATTGCACTTTTTCTGTGAACAGGATACGCCGTTGTTATTTTTGTGGAAAGGTTATCGCTAACTTCGGTGATTCGAGCGTATTTTTATCCGCAGCGGACGCTTTGGGGTGGCTGTTTCTAGAGCAGGATTTCATCCCTTAAAATTGAGCTCGTGCAGCTGAGACGAATATGCGTCTCGAGCATCTTGCTATTTTACGAGACTGTTCGTTATTGAAAGAGCAACAATGTTGTTGTAAATGATCGTTGGAATAATGTACTTCAGCTGTCTATAAACAATCTGGATTCATTAATCAAGATTTAGCAGGCTTCGATGAACAGTCAGTGCCGTTTTAGACTGAGCGCCTATATTAGCGCCCCTTTATATCTATTTTAGATATAAAGCGCCTAAAAGATTCGCGTGTATTCTTTCCGTAAAAAGGAAGTGGGGTGAGACGCCTACCAGGGGCGAATAACTAGAAAATCTTGACATCTCGCGGAAAAATGTACTTGAACGACATCTTCTCCCTCGATGCAGTCCTGGTAGGATGTAATTCCTGCAAAAATACTCGACACGTATTTTCTTCGTCTCCATCAATCTTACGAAAGAGCCGGATATCTTGGAAATCGAAGAAGCTAAATGAACTCTGCAAATAGCAAGATCGTGTATTTTTTAATAAGCAAGTCGATTTACCGTTTGTCCCTTCGTGAACGAAAATTGTTTAACACGATCGAAACCTTCCTCATTTTACAATGATACAAACAAAATTATCGTTAGAAATCGTCGAATAAATCACATTATTGAAGCAACTACTGTCGAAAAAACTGTACAAAGTTTAAGCAAGTCGGATTTTCTCAATTTTATGAGACACTGCACGAAAGCATTGAGCACATATAAATTGCTCGCAACACGTGGAATAAGATGTGCAAGTCCCAATGTCGTCGATACGTCGTCAAAGGCTTAAGAAAGAAAGGGCAGCAGCTCGACAGAAAAGTAACTAGGAATTCTCGCGTGAAACGGGCCACGCGTGAGCCCGTCGCCGGCATTTCCCATAAGTCTGGCAAAATGGACTAGCAGCCTAACAGTTTCCTGCACAGTTTCTCGCTCTAAAAAAAACGAGACGAGGAGAAAAGACGGCAAGGAGCGCGTCTCGCGGTTTGTCTCGTCCAGTGTGTACCCTCGACGGGGCCCGCTCATTGTAACGAGATTACGCATTAAACGGCCGAGAAACGAGGAAGTGCCAGGTAAATTACGGCCCTCTGCTCGATAGTAAATTCACCTATACGCCTCCGCGGCGCTGGATTTACAGGCTCCTCGAGTATCGCCGTTTTAAGAACGCGACCCGGCCGTCCGGTAACGCTAATATCGCTCGTAAATATAATGTCGAACGGATCCGCTGAAGTCCTCGACAGGATCCAGCTTTGCACTTTGACAAGTATGTCCTGTCCCCGTCCTCTTCTTCCCTCCCATTCTTCCTCCTTTCCTTCTCTTCCATGCGGCACACACAAAATACCCCTAAACTTGCGGAAAATCTACGGAACTCGGAGAACCATGGATTTTCATCGAGAGGTTAAATTCGTTCACATTTTTTAATCGTACGATGAGAATGACAAATTCGTTGTAGCCGACGCAAATATTGGACGCAATCGTCGACGCTTGATTTTCGAAGAAATTGGCGACCGGTCTTGACACTTTCTCGAAAGCTTTAAAATCCACGTGGTGCCAAGATGAACCTTTTGATGAGATGAGTCTTTTCGTCTGTATTCTCAATCAAGGACAAAAAAAGAAAGCAAGCGTGAGAGCTCGAGTAAAATATTAATCGCAGTCTTCGGCGCTCAATCTGCAACCAAAATGGCGGCCAGCCGCGAGTCCTCCCTAAAGATCCACGTGCTAAGAAGAACCACGGAATTCTTTCTTCGAGAAATCTTTCCAGCGACGCGCGCGATCTCGGCGTCAAATGTAGCTTGAATAAAATATAGACCAGGATCTAAGAGACCAGGACGCTAAACAAAATGGCGCTCGTGCTCGAAGGCTCCCCAGAGCGTAAAATTCAGGTGGTTCCGAGAGGAGCGACGGAATTCTCGCTCGAAGAGATGATTCCGTCGGCATTCCGTCCCGTTGACCGTCGTCTCTCTCTCTCTCTCTCGCTCTCTCTCTCTCTCTCTATCTCTCTCTCTCTCTCGAGTATTCCAAGTTCCACGGTGGAATCCCGAGATGTTGGGGCTCCGTCGGCGAGTCGGCCGCGTTGACCCATTTCCTGTAAATAGACGCGCTCGTTCGCGCGCGTCTCGTCGCGGGAACCATCGCGGGAAAAAGAAGAAGAAGAAAAAAGAAAAGGTTGGATCATCTCTCGCGTCTCGTCGACGCGATCCGGTTGGTTTTCGCAGCGGCCGGGATCGTTCGCGAGACCGCTGCCCACGTAATTTCCTTAATGGGCCGGCCCGATTAAGACGAAAATCTCTGGATGGTCCGCGGCGAACGAGGCGCGGAGCGACGCTGATGGATAACGGAGGCAGCCGGTCGCGGGCAACGATTTTACGAGGGCCCTTGAATCGCCTGCGTTTTGTTTGATCGTCTAAAGAGGCTCTCTCTCTCTCCCTCCCTCCCCCCTCTCCCGTCTTCGCCGCCGTCCTCGTCTTCTTCAGCGACGATTACGACCTTGCAACCGGCGTTGCGTCATCGCGATCATCGAAGAAATCGGCGGACGATCGGCGTTTCGCGCGAGACGCGGTTACGCGCTCAAAAGGATCTTCCCGCTATTCATTATTCTTCGTCCGTCGAACGATTAATCTTCGGACTAGATTCCTTTATTTTTCGCCGGCCGATTCGTTGATTCGCCGATCCCGATCCGAAGCGGGGTCTTTAAATAGCAAGCAAGCGCGAGCATAATACGCGACGCCGATGGTCGCCGAGAGGAAACGGGCAATCAATACGCGATAACGTCGCTATAAGGAACGCGTGATTGTCGGGAAGCGACCGCCGGGAATCCTCCGGGGCCGCACCGGAAACGATCGTTAATCGAGGAGACCTGTCGCGCAAAAACGTGCGAAAGAATAGACCGAGCCGTGCTTCGTGACTCACCCGCGAGACCTGCCGACAGGATCGGACTTAAATGGCCGGCTCTCTTGCTGCACCGAGATAGGCGGAATCGGCCTGTCCGAGTTTCTCTGCATAATTAGGTGCGCCTCGGAGATTGCTCCATTTATTTATTTCTCACGTGCCGAGGAAAAACGCGGTCCCTTCGCGGTCCCTTTGGACCCGGACCCGCGGACTGAACGGATTTCAGTGGACGGTGGTCCCTGCGCCGGGCAAATTAACCGTCGACTCGGACAATCGTTGTGCAAGTTTCGTGAATTTCTCGTACAATTTATACTGTTATTGCGGAATGGCCGGACGTAAGCATTATAAATAGGCGCATAATGCGAGCAATATTATGTAAATTGTCCTCGTGGTTAGGTGCACTTTTCCGCGATCATATTTTTCTTTCGTTCTGACACGCTGAAAAGCTATTCTCGTCGCAGACGACGACGCGTGCACCGTCCCGGAGGGCTCGGAGATTATTAACGGGCCCGAGAAAAATGTTTCCGAATTTCGCGCGAACTCTGAACGCTGTTTCCAAAGTATCCGACGCGAAATAATCGCGCGTAATTCGCGAGAATTCGACGTTCGTACGCGTCGAGAAGCGCCGCATCTTCCAGAAATGGACTGGAAAGAAGCGCGTTCCCGCGGAAGCGAAGAAAAGCTTCGCAGGATACCGAGAATCCTAACGGCTCCAGGAGAAATGTGAATGATACGTATGGTTGTTCGGCGTCCTTAATCCACCGTTCGCGATCGAGGAATCGATTAATGCGCCCCTGAAACGGCGAGCGGCCGGCGGTTCTGTTGTGTGCGTGAATCACGCACGGCGGGCTACCACGAAAACACGCTCGTCCCTAATTGCGTTCGGATGTGGGTTACAGGCATGCTACTACGACTTCTTGTTCACCGTTCTCGCGATTACGCTCCGGTGGAGCATTGAGTAATCAATACGAGCGTCTCGAATCACGATATACCGAAGAAGAAGCGGGAAAGCGAAAGAAAGAGAGAGAGAGAGAGGAGAGAGGGGCGGGAGAGTGAGAAAGAGAGAGAGAAAGGAAGACGGAGGAGCGAGAGTGGGAACCTCGTTAACGCCAGGATCAAACGTCCTTTCTCTAATTCAACGGGCATCCTTCGACGAACGGTCGTGACCCTCGGCGAGCGGGCTCTAAACGTGAAACGACTTCATCGGGGGGATAATCGATTTTCCCGAGGCGTTGCCCTTGACGCGCCGTGTGTTTTCCACGATCTTACGCGTTTCTTGCCTGTTTAACGACGCCGAATGATCGATCTCCTTGGGAACTTCGTCTCACGATCGCCGGTAACGCTCGCGCGGCCTCTGGATCGCTCGAAAATAATCGCCGCGCGACTTTCCACGTTTCCCGCGCGCGCGAACCGGACATCGTTAACACGTTGATCGAGGTGTCCGCTATTTGCACACCGTCTCGTTGCCTCCTCCGGGCCACGTTTTTATCCGCGTATTTTTACCGCGGTTGTGTTGCGTTGACAGAACGGTAAAATGTTTATACAGCGAACGCATCGATCGCCGCGCGTATAATGTAATTTTGCAACGAGTGCCATTTACGACGCGCGCCGGACGACTGTTGTTAAGGATGATTATCGGCTCCGCCGTGCACTTTGTCGCCGTCGGTTACTTACGGCGCTAATTAATTTTTGTCCGATTCGTTGTACTTGTTTCTGAAGTTCTGCTGCGTTTAGCGGTCGAGATGCTGCCGCGGCCGTTCGTGCACGGCAAATCCGAGGACTCGTTACGCAAAACGGTAAATAATGGAATAAAAAAAATGGGCGACTGGAATTTGTTTGTATAAGGTTTCGTCCCCGCGCTCGGTCGACGTGTCTCTTCATCGCTCACGTTTCCACTTCTCTAAGTCCGACGACGGCATTGCGTAACGGCGAAGTTTCCGAAGTCGGACCGCTGGTGCTCGCGCAGCTTGCACAGGGTGCCGCGTAATCGTCAACAGTTCTCAGCTTTGCTTGAGAAAGTGCGACAAGAGAGTTCGGAAGGTTGTGCGTATCTCGTTGGCCTCCGTTTTCGGGCGGATGCGGATCGACCGAGTAGAATAGGCCAGCAAGCGACAGACACGCGAATCCTATCAACGCGTTTGGTATCCCGAGGCTTCCGAGAGTTCGCACTCGACAACAAAACCACCAGCTTCGCAAGCGCGACGATAAACAATCTTCTCCGCGACCGTTCGTTCCTTAAAACCTGTGCCAAAAGCCAAGTCGCTAGACTACGCCAGTAAACGTTCTATGAAATCGTGACGATTTGTGCACACGCCTGACACGTCGAACGAAACTGTAAGCCTCCAAGAGTGAACCAGGTCTGAAATCTCTCGGAACACTGCATCTTCCCGAAGTCGCCGAAACTGTCGACAATTGTTATCCGCGACACCGACCATATTTCTGTCACCGAACCGGCAACCGTCCCCTAAAATCGCAGGAATCTCTGCTCGCACGAAACAAACGGTGCGCCACTAAAAACTCAACGAGGTCTCGCTCGAAAGCGACCAAAGTCGCGCAGTCTGCGGACGAGTGCCAATCGCAACGGTGGCCATTTTTCCCGCGCACGATCCGGGCCGGGCCGTTCCCGAGGCTGGCCCGATCGGCGATCGTTCGCCGAGACCTCTGACCAGGTGCCAAAAAATGTTCTACATCGGTTGACTGACTCATCTCGAAACGGTGGCCGTTTCTCGCGGGAAGATCGGACGGTGCGCGTAACCGCTAGTCATCTCGGGTATTTGGGGATGCTGGGTGGCTCAGGTGGTTGCGTGGCGGCCCGAAATAGAGGCGGTCGCCCGCGCAAAATCGCTCGGAGTCGCGCCGCGAATAGTCCGCGCCCACCGGCTTCACGAGAGCCGCCGTTAATTTTAGAAAACGTTTTGTTTTCGTGCCAGAGCAGAGCCGCGACAGAAGCGGAGAGAAGAAGCGTAGTTGCGTGAGTCGCGAGCCGCACGTACACGCGCCGCGTGCCTACTCGCTTCTTCCTCGCGGGATTACGTCGCGCGTTCCCGAGATCGATGCACGCGCGACACCCACGCCCCGCCGCAGACAGTTTCGCTCTCGCAGCCGAGGATTCGGATGCCCCGACCCGGGGACTATAGTTTGTTGCTGGTGCCGGCGAAGTTCGCGGCCGACGAGACCTGGCCTCGCGGGTAGCCGGAGATTCACCCGGTATCGTACCTATTTGTCTCTCAAAAGTTAACAGCCTTGCCGCCGATCGACCGGGCCACCTGACTAACCCCGTGACCCGTCCGTGCATCTCCATCGCGTCTCCAAATAGCACCGGGAGAGTCGAATAGTTCGTCGGAGCTCGTTCGTCGGAGAGGATTGGGACGCGATAACGTGTCGAGGGATTATAATTTGTTGTCGGTGCATCGTTCTGTTTAGCATCTTTAGAGGCGACGCCTCGATCACCGCTGCGATAGGCGTCGCATGTATACGTGTTCATTCATCCTGTGCGCAAGTGTCTTCCAACAGTGTCGAATGCTTCGTTGGAGTTCGCTTTTAGAAAATAGAAACACGAGTCGCAGCTTCGCGGACTTTAGTTTGTTGCCAGTGGTTCGTCCTCAGCCGTCGAAGTGGGCGATTTAATCAACCTTGCGACCCCCTTTAGACGACTTCGTCGTGTTCGCAAATATGAACAATAGATCGGGCTACCTCGTTGGAGTCCGCCTGTGGCTTTATCAAACGTAGCACGTGGATAAGAAGAGGAGTGTGGGCAACTATTGTGTGTGCATTGGTCATGCGTTTTTTCGGGAAACTGGTTGCGGTGACTCGCGTAACGCGATTAATTGGTTCCGCGTTATCATAAACTGTCTCATACGAGGCTCTATTTCAGAAAACGAGATCGGTGTAACATTGTGGTCGGCTACCGCCAAGGAGACCTAACGCTTATCGGGATGATTGATCAAAAGCTAATGAAAAAAAGGCGGTCCGAATAAAATATGGTAACGACATCAAATGAACCAAACCCGTCGTTTACGCGCAACTGGAAACAATTAGTATATCCCCGCGACGAGGCGAATGCGGTGAAAGGAGTAGATTGACTCGTTACTCGCGCGATACCGTGAAAAAGATTGCGAGTAACACACGGTCGAGTTTCCGAATTTGGACCGGCTCCCAGATCAAGCATGTATCTGTTATTGGCGGTATTAATTAACTAGGAATTACAAAGTAGCTACAACCCGGCCGTCTGTCTCCAATAAGAGACATATCCGCGGAGTTATTGATATTATTAATTAACTGTGAACTACAGATTGGGTTCGGTCGGAATCTGGTCTACGCGGACGACTTTCTCCTATTCGCAAACAAAACAGATCTAAACAGATGTTAGACCATGGACACGTGACTTTTAGCGACTATTTAATTGTTCTAGAGTACTGCTGTCATAAAAAGGGAGGTCCTATCTGCAATATTTGGTAGTTTGATATTTTAGTAAACGCGGATATTTTAGTCGAGTGGGACGATAATATTATGTAATTTATTAAATCCTAAAACCTCACGTGGAAAATTGAAACTTAGTATAGACATATATATATAAAACTTCACGTAGAAAATTGAAACTTAGTATAGGTATTAGGAAATAAATCTAATAAATATAAATATATATATAGCGATCTAGAAGCACCAAAACGTCAAGTTACCAAATTTTGCAGATAGTATCTTTGCTTCAGGACGGCGCAGTAACGTAATAATATTATGGTATGACGCTACAAAACGTACATATATGAGATAAAAATCATTCTCGAGCCATCATGCTTCTCTCATGACAGGCGATGAACGTGACTCACTTATCACATAGTCCACAGATCGATTAAGCATCATGTTTCTGAGTCAGTCCGTAATGAATAGTGGCATCTCCAGAAACGACCGATTCCAGATTCTTTATTCTACGCCGCGTACTCCCATCTGCTTCTCAATTCTCCATGTCGAATTGATCCGAATTATCGTAAAGTAATCGAGTTAGCGAATTCATTACATGAGATTGCAAAACTGCGTTCGAAGAGACACGATTGAAACTAGCTTTTCAGGACACCGTTGTGAACGTATAAAATCGACACAGGAAAAGGCCTCGGCCTTTGTCGGGTCGATGTCATCGTGCAGGATCTGACCGAACGAACTCTCGTGACTTTCCCCCGATCAGGAAGCAAAACCAGGAAAAGGGAAAACTGTGGGAAAACAGAGCAAGAGTGAAATAATCCGGTCACTAGGAAAGAATGCAATGAGCCTGTCCAAACGAACAGAGAAAGATGAAGACTGTAATCCATCGTCAAACCGCATCAAATCAAGCCGAGCGACGTCTCGTGACTTTCCAAATCCGAGGAGGATAAACGAGGCAGGATGAAAGGGAGGAAGGAAGGAAGGAAGGAAAGAAGGAAAGAAGGAAAGAAGGAAGGAAGGAACCGCGACCACGACGATTCCCTGACGGCGCCTGTGACTGCGTGTTCTCGCCTTTTTCCCGTGTCGTGAATCGTCGCGCGCTGCTTTATCTCCGTTAGTCGTCGGGGAGAAGCCTCGTGCATCGCGAGTGAACGCACGTCGCCCGATAAACGCTCTTCCGTCTTATCGAATCGCTTCCGTTTACGCGTCCCGCGGACGTGCTCGTAAAAGGCTCGGATTAAAGAGAGAAATTACCGAGTGGCCGTGTCCCAAAGGCGAGCGAAACGGGCGGGGACAGTCCGACGGGACGACAAAAAAGTGAAAAATGAAAGACGGCGGGAGGGGGGTGGGGACCGGCCGGAAAGGGGGCGAGGAAAAGGAGCGAAACGTCGATGGAAAGGGGGCAGAGGCGAGCGAACCGGAGCAAGCGAACAGGCAGGGAATGAAGTTGAAACGGCGGAGTGATAGCCAAATCGAGAAACACGGGCGCAGCTCGTTTTACACCGATCGGCTGCCTCCTACGGTGTGTCTTTAGTGCCGTGAATTGACAGCGGTAAATCCGACGGCCTTTTTTAGTCACCGCGTTTTGTACCGCGGCCCGAGCCGGGCCCGGCTCTCGGCACCGGATCGCCATTCCGAGCGAGCCGAAAGAATCGCGGGATAAACAAAAGAGAAGACGCCGGGCGAGAGGGAGAGCCACGACGGAGCGGGAGGAAAGCTCGCGAAGGATACCCGGCCCCGGGGAAACAGGGAAAACAGGAGGAGAGAGGCGAGTGTCACCGTGCAGGACGTAGGACGACGACGGGGAGAGGAAAAGAAAAAGAGACGGAGAATGGTCGCGTGGCCGTGCGTGGCCCCAAATAGGGCATCAGGTGGTTGCGCGACGCCCGCGAGAGAAAAAGATCGTTCGCGCGTGCGCAGAGGCGCGTGTGCCGCTCGTAACCGGGCGAGCACGCACGCATGCACAAGCGGCATACGCTAGAACGGCACGCGCGCTCTTACAGGTGGTGCCGGCGCGGCGAGACGCGGTGCGAAGCGGACTGCTGTGCACAGGAAATTGCTCCTTTGTCGAGCGAACGCGGCCCGGGACGGAATCGAACCGAGCGGAGCTCGTTCGCGAGGATTATACCCTCCCGCGGGACGATCAAAACACTCGCGCGCCGGGATCGGGACCAGCCAGACGCGGAGCGCAGAGCAAGCTCACCTGTTGCTTCCGCTCCGCGAGTTTGGACGACCTCGTTTCGAAAAAGAACGATAATTAACAAGATCGCAGTCGTCTAAATTTCCTCACAGTACTGGGTGTATAAGTTTGATTCAAGAGAGGGGGAGGGGGGAAGTTGTAGAAACGGACACGGGACGATTCCAGATGCAAAAATATGTAGAGAAGAACGAGTGACGTTTTCGCGGTTTCGAGAAAATTGGAGCGGAAGTTAGGCTTCGTGGCTCTACGATCTTGCGGAAGTAGATGCGGTATGTTATGGTCGGACGTGCCAGCTGATGCTTGGTCAATGGCACGCGGGTTCGCTGAATCATCAAACTCGATTTTTTTTCGAGAATCATTCGCCTCGCGTACGGCTATTTCAAGCGGACGCCGTTAGAGTTTGATATTAATAAGTTCAAGAAGTAATTGGCGAGTTGTAAGACGAGAGCGTCTAGAGTTTCAGCCTTAGAACCAGTTGAAGCTTGAACGAAGTACGTTGACTCGAAGCCTGAGAAGATGGAGAAACGAAGACTGCAAAATACCAGACCATTGAGGAGCTTCGTGAGAGAGAATCGTAGTTGAATAGGCCAATCGAAGTAACCTTCGATCGGACAAAACTCTGTCTCTCTGTAAACCTGGACCAAAAACGAACATTTCTCAAACTTAAACGGAATACGAACGGCGATACGTTTCGCGGAAAGTTTAAAATCAGTAGTCCTGCCCCGTGAGTCCAACTTTGACCAGACAAGCCTCTCGCTCGACACTCGTAGACGTACTAACAGGCCGAGGCATCCTCGCAGCATCTAAAAATCAGTAGTATAGTCCAATACCGGTCGGCCAAAAAATCGCCGTACCCCATTGCTCGAGAAAATCGTGCGCCAAACAGGCATGATAACGCATGCTTTTCGTACGCTAACAGAGACTACTAACATGGGCAATGTACACCGAACGGAGCGCCGTTTCTGGAATCCTCGCGAGCGACTAACAGCTTCCATCCCCCGGCGAGCGTGCTTCGATCGATAGCGTTGCGCGCGAAGGTACACGGAGTGCCGGTGGCCGCGGGATCCCGAGCGTTACCCGACGCCTGTCACAGCGTCGAGAACGACGCTAGCCGTCCATACGCCGGCGCCAAGAGCGCGTCAGCAGCGTCGAGCCGCGTCGAGCCGCAAGGCTACGCGCGGTATCGCGGGGAGGGCGCGGAGGAACTCCGCATTCAGTGGATTACAGGCCGGAGAACGCGGCGGAAGACTATCGGAGAGGAGGGAAACTTTCCTCCCCTCCCGGATAAGGGAGGGGGAGGGGGTTGAGGAGGAGGGAACAAAGGAATGCCACCTGACGGTCCACGAGAATAGAGACCATAAACAATGAGATCTAATTTAAACGAGCGGACAGCGGCGCGACGGGAACGCGACTCGAGCGTTCCATCGATCGTCCTCTTGCGTCACTTTCTCGTCATCCGCCGAATCGGCCATTCCCGAACTCCCGTTTGCCCGCGCGAAAATGCCTGACAAACGTCGCCATAGAACGACGCGGTTGTGACGGAAGCGTCACGAAAGTTTCAAAGTCAGCCGAACGAGGAAAATGCGGCGTCGGGAAATAGGACCGCGATTCAAACTCGCCTCGCCTCGCCGCGAGGGAGAGCTCGCTCGCGCGCCAGTACCTACGTCACGCTCGTCTACGTCACTGGAGAACCGAGATCCCCGGAGTGGGGGCCTCGCCGAGCGGTGGGGCGAGCTGAGGGGAAGGCAGGAGCTTGCTGAGCACGAGCCGGTGGTGGGAGGGCAGAGAGATGCCAGCTCGCAGCGGCTCGCAGCGGCTCGCTACGAGGAGGGCGGGTGGTGCGGGGTGGGGGCAGCTGGCGCGTGTGTGCGTCGGCACGGACGCGCGCGGCCGTGTACTTGTCCCCAACACCGGTGCGCGTTGATAGGGGACCGCAGAGCGGGGATTGGCTGGCGGTCGGCTCGCCGCTTCCAAATATGGGACAGTCTCCGCGGTCCATTCATAAAACTACGGGGCGCGCCGCCGCTCGGCTCAGTTCGTGCGCGACCCCCACGCATCGCGCGTCCTCCGACGAGATTCCGGACTCGCGCGATCCGCTTCCTCTCGGCCACGCACACCCAGCCACCGACAGAGAGGTGTACATACCTCTGCTGCCTACGTCCGCGGGTAAAACCTGAACGGACCGGAGAGACAGATAAAGAGCGAGAGAGAAAGAGAGATAGAGAAAGAGATCGGTGTAAAGAGAGAGAGAGAGAGAGAGAAAGAGAGGAGACGTAGAGGGGGAAGAGACGAAAGAGACGAAAGAGAGAAGAGAAGAGAAAAGGACGGAAGACAACGGAACGACAAATAGGCGCGCGGTCGCGCGCGCCTTCACCTACGTGACAACACAGGCGCGCGAGATCATCGTCGCGCACAGGACTCGCGAAGCGAAGAACCGATCGCAGGAAGATCTCGAAGAGAGAGATCGGTCGAGCGTGCCTGCGACGTACCGAGAAACTGGTGACCATCGTCGAGGAGGATTCGGGTACCGTTCATCCCCCTCGCGCCGCCGGCTGTAGATCCTCCTCGCGCGCGTTTATCCCTCGCGCGAACGATCCTCAGGATCGGAAGGACGATCGGTCACGACCCTCGGTGAGATTGGATTCTTTTTGTCGTGCGCACACATTACTGTTTGCGGTGGTGGTTGTTGTTGGTGGTGGTGGTAGTGGTTTGTGGTTGGTGGTGGTTGTACCGGTGGTGTATTTACCCGGCGGCGAGAGATCGCCCGAGTGCGCTCGCGCGCGACGCTCGCGTCAGAGGGAGATAGAGGGAGAGAGAGAGAGAGAGAGAGAGAGAGTGAGAGAGATTCGTATAGAGAGAGAGAGAGGGAAAGAAGGACGGAGAGCGATCGAGGTACACGGTTTTTGCCGCCCGGCGTCCGCTCCCTCGTGTCTGCCTCGCCGAAGCGGAGGAGAGACTCGCGGCGCGTGCCGCGCGACGGATAAAAAAGGGGGAGAGCGCGTGCTACGTTCGCTTGACTACTAACCCAGTGACTCTAGAAGGGAAGAAGGGAAGAAGGTACTCGAGGAGAAGGACGAAATAACCGATCGAGAGTTTCCCGAGGATTCTCGAGGGACATAGGCGACCACTAACCGATATCCGCGCGTAGAGGCTTCGTCGCGAGAGTAAGAGAGTGAGAGAACGATTAACGGGCGATAGTGAGCGAGAGAGAGAGGGAGAGAAAGAGAGAGTGAGAAAGATCGTGTTAACCGTACCGAAGGCGACACCGAAGGAGGACAAGATTTTAACCATAATAATAGCGTTGAACGATACAACCGCAGGCGAGGACACGCAGTGCGGTACCGAGGAGGTTTCCGCCGGCGGACAGGCAGGCGATCAGCTACAGAGGATGACGATGGACGGGATGGAAGTGGTGGGCTCGCAGCCCCACGCGGCCACCAGCCCGTTTTTGCTCTCCTCGCCACCCCTCGGGCATCATCACCATCATCATCATCATCCCACGTTCAACCTGCAAACGGTGCAGCTCAGCTTCGACGCTTGTCTGCCTTACAACACGGCGACATCGTCGAACTCGATCGTGTGCGGCGTCGGGGGTGGCACCTCGTCGCCGGCACCGACCACTTGCCCGACCTCCACCGGATGCAACAACAACAACAATAACAACAACAACAACAACAACAATAACAACAANGCAGCTCAGCTTCGACGCTTGTCTGCCTTACAACACGGCGACATCGTCGAACTCGATCGTGTGCGGCGTCGGGGGTGGCACCTCGTCGCCGGCACCGACCACTTGCCCGACCTCCACCGGATGCAACAACAACAACAATAACAACAACAACAACAACAACAATAACAACAAAACGGTGCCGACCCTGTCGTTGGCCGGCTGCGTGCCGTTGCACGCGCAACACCAAAACAACGCGGACACCACGGACCACCATGTCCGGCACCATCATCACCATCAGCATCATCAGAGGCTCGACGACCACCAGCAGCACCGGCACATCGATGCCTCGTCGCCGTCCAGCGACACCGGCGACGCGAAGCGGCGCCTGCAGGCCGGAAACGAGGAGAAGGACTGCTCGAGGGACTGCCGGGACGATCTGCAGGAACCTGTCGAGAAGGATAAGCCAGGTGACCTAAACACGCCGGTTACCACCAGCAGCGATTTACCGTCCTTCTTCGGCCCCTCCGCGCTCGTCGAGCCACCTCCTATTTCAGGTACCTAAAATCTGCAGTCCTTTAAGAAACAAACAAACAAACAAACAAAACGAAAGACATCGACGTCTGACTTCTTCTCACGTGCCGCCCTGTCCGCATACACACGCATACATGCGCACGCACGCACGCACACACACACGGACGCACGCACGCACGCACGCACGCACACATAAACAAACACAGGTTCTCGCGGGTCCTCCGATCGGGTGCGCCACGCGTCTTCCACGAAAGAGAATCTTGTGCATCCCGGAGCCCAGTCTTCGCGCGTAATGCACGGCTCGAACTCCGGCGACCTTGCACTTGCACCCTGCGTTTCACGAACGCGGCCGTTCCGCCTCGCCCCGACTTTCGCTTTCCGCATATCCGCCAACTCTTGCCGCTGCTGCTACCCTCGTGGCTGCGCGTCGCACCCCTCCGAAAACCCGGCTTTCCCGCTGTCGATTTCACCGGGGCCTCGGGGAAATCGGCGGCGAGGCAGCGAGCTCCGAGAGCGCGGCGCGCGAGGCGTTGTGCGTACATGTATAGTGTGGCGGCCGTGTTTGCCGACGTGACGTATATCGGTCCGCTCCGCGAAAACGGCTAATATCGAGCCCGCCCGGCTCTCGCGGATCAATACTCGGCGACCCCGACATTCAGAAACCCTCCTCCGGCGTCCCTGCATCGCCGCTCTGCCGCCTCAGCCTCCACCTCCACCTCCCACCGCCCCTTTGCCGGTTTCATTCATGCTCCCGTCTGCCCCCACCCTGCCCCCTCCCCCTCCGGAGCAACACAACCACCCTCCGCCACGGTAGCCGGTAGCCGTATCATCCGCGAGTTTCTCTGCGAGTACCAACGGTGTTCTGCCTTATCGTCTTATCGTTCGACTTCCAAGTCGATTTCTCGGCATCGATTTGGACTTCGACGTCGATCCAGCTTCTTCCGCTTCAGGCTGGATCGTTCGCTGACGCCCGCAACCGGGCGCCGGTTGNAAGTGGTGGGCTCGCAGCCCCACGCGGCCACCAGCCCGTTTTTGCTCTCCTCGCCACCCCTCGGGCATCATCACCATCATCATCATCATCCCACGTTCAACCTGCAAACGGTGCAGCTCAGCTTCGACGCTTGTCTGCCTTACAACACGGCGACATCGTCGAACTCGATCGTGTGCGGCGTCGGGGGTGGCACCTCGTCGCCGGCACCGACCACTTGCCCGACCTCCACCGGATGCAACAACAACAACAATAACAACAACAACAACAACAACAATAACAACAAAACGGTGCCGACCCTGTCGTTGGCCGGCTGCGTGCCGTTGCACGCGCAACACCAAAACAACGCGGACACCACGGACCACCATGTCCGGCACCATCATCACCATCAGCATCATCAGAGGCTCGACGACCACCAGCAGCACCGGCACATCGATGCCTCGTCGCCGTCCAGCGACACCGGCGACGCGAAGCGGCGCCTGCAGGCCGGAAACGAGGAGAAGGACTGCTCGAGGGACTGCCGGGACGATCTGCAGGAACCTGTCGAGAAGGATAAGCCAGGTGACCTAAACACGCCGGTTACCACCAGCAGCGATTTACCGTCCTTCTTCGGCCCCTCCGCGCTCGTCGAGCCACCTCCTATTTCAGGTACCTAAAATCTGCAGTCCTTTAAGAAACAAACAAACAAACAAACAAAACGAAAGACATCGACGTCTGACTTCTTCTCACGTGCCGCCCTGTCCGCATACACACGCATACATGCGCACGCACGCACGCACACACACACGGACGCACGCACGCACGCACGCACGCACACATAAACAAACACAGGTTCTCGCGGGTCCTCCGATCGGGTGCGCCACGCGTCTTCCACGAAAGAGAATCTTGTGCATCCCGGAGCCCAGTCTTCGCGCGTAATGCACGGCTCGAACTCCGGCGACCTTGCACTTGCACCCTGCGTTTCACGAACGCGGCCGTTCCGCCTCGCCCCGACTTTCGCTTTCCGCATATCCGCCAACTCTTGCCGCTGCTGCTACCCTCGTGGCTGCGCGTCGCACCCCTCCGAAAACCCGGCTTTCCCGCTGTCGATTTCACCGGGGCCTCGGGGAAATCGGCGGCGAGGCAGCGAGCTCCGAGAGCGCGGCGCGCGAGGCGTTGTGCGTACATGTATAGTGTGGCGGCCGTGTTTGCCGACGTGACGTATATCGGTCCGCTCCGCGAAAACGGCTAATATCGAGCCCGCCCGGCTCTCGCGGATCAATACTCGGCGACCCCGACATTCAGAAACCCTCCTCCGGCGTCCCTGCATCGCCGCTCTGCCGCCTCAGCCTCCACCTCCACCTCCCACCGCCCCTTTGCCGGTTTCATTCATGCTCCCGTCTGCCCCCACCCTGCCCCCTCCCCCTCCGGAGCAACACAACCACCCTCCGCCACGGTAGCCGGTAGCCGTATCATCCGCGAGTTTCTCTGCGAGTACCAACGGTGTTCTGCCTTATCGTCTTATCGTTCGACTTCCAAGTCGATTTCTCGGCATCGATTTGGACTTCGACGTCGATCCAGCTTCTTCCGCTTCAGGCTGGATCGTTCGCTGACGCCCGCAACCGGGCGCCGGTTGGCCTGGGTAACGGCGACATGTCCCCGATGAATGAAAACAGATGTTGCATTCCCGTAGGGTCGCTCGTGGCCAGGACGACTTCGCACTCGTTAAGATTGCGCGCGGTTCGGAGGGCTGTAGCTCTAGGTTAGGATGCGCCGGATGACTCCGATCAGTTTCTCCGGCCGTCTGGGAGACCGACTTTGTTCTCGGTAGTCGGCGAGAGAGACGATGATTGCGCACAGTTAGGAAGGAAGTAACGGGACGACAGGATGCAGACGACAGATAGAGCCGGCCAGTACGCTCCCGGCTGGCAGATAAAGCCACCCCCGTATCGCACGGTTCTTCCTGTCGATTCGCCTAGCTCGGCCCGGTGCGCGCATGCACGACGTCCCGATTCTCTTCGGATACCGAGCACGACCGCGCGACCGTTCTCTCACCTGTTGTCTCTCACCCCGCGAGCACCCATGCACCCGGCTACGTTGAGCACGAGACTGATCGTGGATTCGATGGATCGTTTTCAGGCAGCCTGGCGGGCGAGGACCTGTCGCTGGAGGAGGCGACCCCGGAGGACGATGAGACGGCGGCCTCGGCCGGCAGGGACCACCGGCAACACCATCATCACCAGGACTCCCAGGACACCGGAACGCCCGGGGCGCCACCTTCGACCAGCCCGCCCCGGCATCATCAGACGCAAGAGGACGCGGACCGGTGCAACGTGCTGCAGGGCGGCGTGATCTTGTACTCGTCGCCGCACTCGACCTCCTCGGTGTCCTCGGCGCCCGCGACCAGCGTCAACATCTGCAACGTGCCCACCCTGACCTACCGCGGCGTGTTCACCGCGACCTGCACCCAGTCGTCCACCCTGAACACGCTGCAGAGTCAGCAGCAACAGCCGCAGCAGCAACAACAACCCCAGCCGACCAGCCAGGAGCTCTGGGGACCGTTGCCCTCGCCGACGCTCACCTTGACGGGTCAGCCGTTCCTTCACCCCACGCTCCATTCGTCCCATTACGGCGGCGAGACCGTCGAACTTCTCCAGGTCGAGTCGAAGCCACCCCCGCCGCCAGGTTACCACGACACGCCGACCACCACCCCGGCCGGCTGGCTGACGGCGCACGAGGACGCCTACGACCCCAACCTGCTGTCCCACCATCACCCCCATCACCATCACCAGGAGACCCAGCTGAAGCAGGAGCCGATCGGCACCGGCGGCTACGGTCCCGCTGTCCAGCAGCAGCAGCAGCTGCAGCAGCCCCAACCGAGCCAGCAGCAGCAACAGCAACAGCAACAGCAACCGCCGCTGCCGGGCGGCGCCACCAGCGTGCAGCTAGCAGCGATCAACCCGAGCACATCCAAGGGCCACGAGATCCTCACGCAGGTGTGCCAGCAGAGCGCTCTGCCGCTGAGGCTAGTCCCGGTGAAGCCGAGGAAGTACCCGAACCGACCCAGCAAGACCCCGGTTCACGAAAGGCCGTACGCGTGCCCGGTGGACCGATGCGACCGCAGGTTCTCCCGCAGCGACGAGCTGACGCGTCACATTCGCATCCACACCGGCCAGAAACCGTTCCAGTGTCGCATCTGTATGCGCTCGTTCTCAAGGAGCGACCATCTGACCACCCACGTGAGGACCCACACCGGCGAGAAGCCGTTCTGCTGTGATCAATGCGGCCGGAAGTTCGCGAGGAGCGACGAGAAGAAGCGGCACGCGAAGGTCCACCTGAAGCAGAGGCTGAAGCGCGAGGCGACGCACGCGTCCGCGAGGAACCATCCGCAGAGCCACGCTTCGCCGCCCTGCAACCAGTAAGGGGGCGATCGCGAATTTAACCCTGTCGTTCTGGGCTGTGCAACAGTGCCATGGAGCACCTGGGCGGACACGGCTGCCGCCCACGGCTTCGGTAGGAAAATGTAGAAGGGTGCTGGAAGCACCCGGACAAGCAGATCGCTGCAGAAGATGCTTGGCTCTCGTCGACGCGGCAAGGTGTCTGGGATTCTCGAGTCCGTCGCTCTGACCTGTCCTGTCCTGCTTGCCATTCTGTCTGTCTGTCTGTCTGTCTGTCTTGTCTGTCTTGGCTGTCTTGTCTTGTCTGTCCGTCACGGATCGACGCCCATTCCCCTCGACCTTGCCAATTAGTGCTCACCCAAGGCGCAGCTTCTCCCCTCGCCGGGCGACGAGCAAACGACGGAGACCTTTAGGCGGAACGCACAGACTGCCGTCAACGACTGATCCGTCGTCGATCGTCGTCGGCTCGCAAGCGATCGACGGCCGCGGCTCGCGCGAGGATCCGCTTCATCCATCGTGTCTCAACAAGAATCTGTCTGGAAACGATCGCGGCTTCGACGATCTGGACCCAACGAGTCGCCGCGCCGAGATCCTCGGCTGTCGCGTTATCGTAAGAAATCGTTCTGGAACATCGTCGTCTTGTAAATACCGAGAGCTTTATTCCGCGAAGGACGCGGCAGCGTCGTCGCGCGATCCGCTCGATCGTCTCTCGCGCATCGTCGCGTATCCAGGGAACATGAGAGCTGGGAATGTGCGGCGCACACCCGGTATTCGATCACTCGACGACGGGTAAACGGTTTGATAACCTGTTCGGTCGAAACGGAGCTGGCTGGAAAATTCGTTCTCGCACTGTCGACGATATTCGGATGCTTGCTGACGGCGATTCGACCTCGTTGTGATAGAATCAAAAAGAAATAATTAACTGCGTTTCCTAACGCTAAACTCGCCGAGTTTCCAAGTCGCTGAAATTGTAGGAACACTTTCGCAAGTTCGATGAATCTCTTAAAATCGAGGCATACGTTATAATGAAAATTGCGAGAGATCTATCGTTTTATTTATTGTTGTAAAAAGAAAACACGTTAGTTAATTTTTAGGGCTCGGTGGGTTCGGCGTTCGAATGGTTTCTCCTCTTTGCGGTTAGAACATTGGAAGGAAGATTGGGAGATTGTCTCCCGTACTTGTGATATTCATGGATGTCGAAAACATCTGTCTCTGTGTAAATGTTAGAGACACTTGATCGCGTCCATATTGGCCATCCCATTCATGTGATTCCGAAACAGGAAAGAGCCCTCCATCTGGCATAGATAAGAGTCGAACGAAAGGAATTTAGGCAAATCGTTTCAGCTAGCGTTCGCTCGACGGTTTCTCGGCTGAATTTGCTGTTCGGCGTGGAACTGGCGCAATGATAAAAAAAGCACTGGTACGAGCATAATTGAATTTGATAATTGCGCGACACGCGCGTCGGTTCCCGTTCGCTGGAGATTTCGCGGAAGACAGAACTCGAACGTTATCAGCATTTCAAGATTTATGCATTTCAAGATGGCTCCGGAACTGTTGTCGCATTACGCGCAACTTACCGAGATCGTTAAAAATGGAAATCAATTTCAATTCGATTCTTGCTGGTCGCAGTCGCGACAGAAAGAGCTCGCACAAATAAGCGCGTGTAACCGTAATAAAGCGGTGTAACGCCACCGCTATCGTAGCAATCTCGCTTTAATTTCGTCCGGTCTCATCCCGCTTTAAGTTCGGTCCCGCGAAATCCCGAACGATCGAACGCCGGCGCGCGGATCATCCACCGAGTCACGGCCGAAGAAAAACGTCGGAACAATGGTCCGTTTAATTCTACCCTCGGAACTCGAGTGATCGAATACTCTTCCGGGATAGGGTAACGCCGATCCAGAAGGATCTCGTCTCGCATTTTTCGCATCCGGTTCTTCTATCACCGGGGTCGTCGGCGCAGGATTCAGCTTTCGAGACCAGCTTCGGTCGCGGGAATTCCTAGCTCTGTCTCTCTCCCTCTCTCTCTCTCTCTCTCTCTCTCTCTCTCTCTCTCTCTCTCTGCCTTTCTGTCTCTCTTTCTTGGCGGCGTAAGCACTGTGTCGTAGTCGTTTCCTCGACGACGACGACGACGACGACGACGACGGGATCGGTGTCGATTCTCCGAGCTCTCCGAGTGTTTTTCGCGGCGAGAGAACCGCGAGAGAGCGACGAGGACGGAGATCGCGAGGCGACACGAGCCTGAGAAGGATGGAAAGATGGGGAGAGAGAAGCAGAGAAAGAGAGACAGAGGGAGAGAGAGAGAGAAGGAGAGAGAGAATACTCGGTTACGGGCAAGCCGTTGGGGATCGTTATTTACGGGGCGGTCGCGTTTTATGCCCTTGTTTGCGATCGAGGAACGATCGAGATGCAGATGCGAGAATCGCGCGTAGATACGCGCACGAAATATTCCGGTGTCACGAGATACTGGCGACCAGCCACTCGGCCGAACGACGTCGAATCGATACCGCCCGCAGCTTCCGGGAATCAGGGAAGGAATTCGTCGAATTAGATAGAGAGAGAGACGGGGCTGGGTCTCGATCGCCATGCAAACGACCGCGTAAAAGAAACAGGAAAGAAACCTCACTCTCGCGCGCGCGATCAGCCGAGCGAACGAGCGAACGAGCGAACGAGCGAGCGAGCGAGCCAGCAAGCGAGCGAGCGATCCAGGGATCTCGAGATCCCTCAGACGATTCGCGATCGAAACCGGGCCCCGGTCACACCGTTCTACACTGGTGCACGGATAACTGTCGCGTCGTGCGCCGGGAGCTGCCACGGTTCTTCAGGTATTTCACCTGCGAATCACCTGGAAACAAAGTCTGAAACACAGAACACGCCGGAGAGTAGAAGTTACACGGCAGCAGTCTGTAAGCCGACGGACCGGAGAAAACGCGCACGCGAACGAAGCGGATGATCCAAGTTTTGTTGCACGGAGAAATTGTTGTTGGACGAATTTGTTGATCGTTGTTGATGTTGATCTAGTTGTGTTACCGCGATGAGAAAATTTTACTTACGTTGATCGTCTTGTTTATACTTTATTTGGATGTTCCAACCGCGTTATTGGCATCAAGATCGGCTATCGTATATGCGCTTCTTGGGGACGTCTGCGCGTTCTGTCTAGAAATTATGGGACCGGACGGACGGCCTCTTGTTTCGGAAATTAAGGGATCTTTGCGAGAAAAACGGCTGGATAGAACGTTGATTATGCTAATGTGATTATATTCGGCGATAGCGTGCCGATTCGCCTTGCGTTCTTCTATACCTGCTTTCGCTGCTTCGCGTATCGTCTACTCGCGTGAAACGCGCGGTCTACGATCGATCGGTATTCGTTGAGGTGAAACTCTGAAGGTTTCCGGCGAAGCAAGCCGGCAAATAAATCGCGAAGAATGCAACGGTTGTCCATGAAGGACGGAAGGAAGGAGAGAAGACGATTTGAGCGACGATTCGAGCGACAATTTCCGATGCACCACGGTAGTTTCGTGTGAACCGAGCGTTCGTCCGTCCTCTCGTCGTGCCGCGAACGATTCGACATGCCCGCGCTTTCTTGCCGATCAGGGAATCTCTGTGTATGTATATGTATGTATATCCAAAAATATTTTCTATGTATTTTTATAAGCGCCCCGAGAGAATTGATTCGCAGACGGACGATCCTCGAACGATCGTGCGTAAAGAGAATTTAGTTCGATAACCGACGAGAGAGAGAGAGAGAGAGAGAGAGAAAGGGCGAAACGCACGGCCTGATCTCGTCGCGAGAATCGATCCACATGCATACACAATCGTACACACGACGCGCACACACATTCACAATCTCGCGCGCACACAAATACATACACACACACATTCACGCGTACACATACTTGTACACATTTTTGCGTCCTTGAACCTCGTGTCTTTCAATCATACAATCGAACAATCGCTTCGTATCGTGCTCTACCTCTTCGAACGCCACGTCCACGTGTCTCGTTCCTAGTTCGAACACCCTCTCGTGCTCCGGACACGCTAAAATCTCGGATCCCCCACCACCCCTCCCCCGCATTGTCTTTCACCCCTTCGGTGATCCTTACTCTTTTCCCTCGGTGCTGTCGCGATCCTTCAACGAAAGAGCCCATCCAACTTTTCTCGGCTGTCGAACACTCGAAGTGAAGACGACGAAGCAGAAGAAGAAGAAGAAGAGAGAGAGAGAGAGAGAGAGAAAGAGAGAGTGTGTGTGCGGGTCCTCTGTTTTTCACCGCGAAGCAGCAAACCCCACGAGTGAATCTTAATTAGTGATCGGCGCGGTGATCATCGTTGTTTAACCACGGGAGTTTTCCTCTGTAAATATGTATATATATATTATCAGGCGTGTTATACATATGTATACATAGGTTACGTGTTCTAATCAGAACGGGGCAGAGACAGTGAGCGTAGGAGAAGAACCTGTTGAAAAAAAAGATCTCTCACCATTCTTCTCCGTTTGATCTTGTTCGCTACTTTCCCGACAATGAAACAAACAAACAAACAAACAAACAAACCAACCAACGTACCCCGTTCCGCCATCATTTTACGTGTAATATAAAGATATGAGTTTAGCGACGATTAATATTATGTATATGTTGCTCTATTTATTAACAAAAGTCTCTCTCTATATATATATATATTATATATATATATTGAAGAAAGATCTATATATATACATATATATATATTGTTAAAATTAAAGGATTATTTTTATTATAATTATTCTATTATAATTCTATTAATAAACGATTATGGTTATCGGCCGCGTCGGACGCCTCGGATATCCGGACGCTCTGGTCGCGCGTTTACTCGCGTCATATTGTCCGCTATTGTTCTAGATAGGTCGGAAAATACTTGTAGAACGAAGGAGCGTGTAACGCGCTCGCGCGCGCGCACACACACACAGGCGCATACAGCATACACACATACATACACACACGTCTCTTCGAAGCAGCGAGAATCCGAGAGAGATAAATATATATGTGTATATATATATATGAGAGGTAGAGAGAGAGAGAGAGAGAGAGAGAGAGAAATTACGCGTGCGTGTACATAAAACGTATCAACGTGTGAATGTGTTGAGGAGAGAGAGAGAGAGAGAAAGAGAGACACGGAAAGAAAGAAATCATAGTGAGAACGGTACAGAGACGACACTTTTTTTTACGAACGATATTACGCTATAGTTGGATAAATTATGTGTAACTATTATGCCATACACGGTGCTCCGAGTGCTACGGCACACCGGGAAAAAACAATCTCTCGACTACCTGTATATTTTGTGTTGTAATCATCGTTGCCGTTTAATCTGGCCCGGTTCCCCACGACGATTATTAACAAAAATACAAAGTTAACATTGAACGGATATGTCTTGTTAATTCTCTTACCAATCGATCCACCAATGCGGCATCCTTGCGTCCATCGGAAACTGTTCCCTTACGTGAAAAATTTCGTTCGATTCGTTTCATTGTTCCCATTCTCAGAAATTATCTTGCACCAGAGCATCCAAAAGAGTGTCCCAATGCTTTCTCGCGCCATTCCAGACTTTTCTTTTCGTTTCGCACGCAACGATGAACCACGATTAAGGCACGCGTTATTCTCGTATCTCGTGAAAGAACATTTCTCGGTTTCGCACGTGTTTCCTCGACTTTCATCGCGCCTGCCCGAAGATTTTTTAATCGAACATTTCCTCGTTTAGTAATAATCAACTGAATACAGTTGTATGCACCGGCGGCGACAGAAAAACACGGCCGGCTAATTGCAAGGCGCGGCGCAAAAAGATCGGACAGAAGCCGAGCCGAGCCGAGTTTCCAGCGATTATCGGCATTATCGCGGCAATAATCCGCCATATTGGAGACCGGAGAGTAACAAGGAAATTCCATATTATTAAATGACCGTTCGTCCAGTTATCAATTAACTGTCGTGGCCCCCGGATCCCGGGCTGCGATTCGAACGCCAGCTTGTAATTACATTCTCGCGGGAGATCGCGGGATCGAGGGAGGCCGGCGATCCGGCGAGATCGAGCGCGGCACGAACGAAACCGTCGGTTTTTACGACCGCCATCGATCGCGGCGTCCTGGGCCGGCGCGATTTTTTTCCCCCGTTGCGATCTACCGTCAGGCGCATTCATCGGCCGCGGACATCTTTATCGATCATCGACAATTACCGAACAGGGGCCCGCCGATCGGGGACGTCGATAGATCGAGCCGCGTCCTACGCGACCGAACTATTGTTCGTCCCGTGGTGTTCGTTTAAAAGCCAGCCCGGGAAGATTAATGAGGACCGGTCGCCGTTGCAAGAGAGTCGCCCGTCTGAATGCGACGGTGCATTTGCACTCCCGTGCGAGCCACGAACGCGAGCGCACCTTTTCTATATTGCAACCTTTCACCGTAAACACGCGGCTTGGCGCCTAAACGTTGCCCGGTGCTCGCGCGCGCCCGCGCGCTCTCTCGGTTATCGCTTATCGATTCTTTTTCTTTCCGTCCGCCGTTCCCCCTGATACGGATCAAGAACGACCGTCAATTAACGGTTAGTGTCAATTCAGCCGGCCAGACACAGACTTATTGCTGCTCAATCAAGCGACAGTCTGGCCGAACGGATCGCCGATCCGCGGGAACCAGTACTTCCGGGTACTTTGTACGATTCGACGCGAAAGAGAGCTCCTCGCTCCGCCGTGTATCGTTTCTTTCCGCGTCATCGTCGGGTATCGTGTCCATAATCGCGGACACCTGAATACCGCGCGAAATTGAGGATCTAAAACGGATCAGCCGGGTACATCGACGGACGGATAGACCGTTCCGCAATTAAGGAACGCGCGTGCCGGCCGGAGCCGATCCTTCCACCGATTCGAAAAGACTCGTTACCGCGGGACCGTAGAACTCGTCGTTTTCCCGAGACGGCGTCGTCGAAAGTGAAATTAATCGTGCCACGTAACGAGAAAGTAAAACGGAACTCCTCGGTAACGGTGTTCGGGCTGCCGGGAGGCGAGCGGAACGGAGCGGCGAGCGTTTCACGAAACCGTGAGGAGGATATGGAGGCGGGAAGAGGATCTCCGGAGATCGTTGGAACCGGGACGGTTGGTCCGACCGATCGATCAAGGAGAGGGAGAGAGAGAGAGAGAGAGAGAGAGAGAGAGAGAGAGAGAGAGGAGGTAGAGAAGATATAGCGTTCTCCAAAAAAGGTGAGATCCGAGTATGATTCAGAACCGTGAAGAAACGACGTCGACGAGATCGCGCTACCGGCGCGCCGCGCGCGGCCAACCGGCGACCAGGGATCGGTTTCCGTAATCGGCCAATTAACGGAAAACGATAAATCGGTTCCCTTCGGTGCGGGCCAGTGGGGAGAGGGGCATGAACGGGCTACCGGTGGCGGGCGTCCCGACGCTCTCGGAGCGGCGGGTCCACGTCATCGATTCCATCGCGGTCGAACGGGCAGTTTTGGCCGGCTGACTGGGCTGGCCGGCTCTCTCGCGTGCGGAGAACGTGCAATGGCCAGCCGCGCGCATAGGTGTATGCACACCTATATAGGAGAGACAGTGCAAGAAGTGGGCAGGAGTGAGGCTGTGAGAGCACGTCTATAAATAGGACCAAGATCGAGATGAGGCCTCCTCTGCACTTCGTGATACCTTCTCTCCTTCTCCCGTCTCTCCGGCCGCGCTCCGTCTCCCTCTTCGACGCTGTTCCTCTTCCTCGCGGTCTTTTTCTTGCCCTTCGTTCGTCCTCGTCTCGCCACCCTTCACCCTCTTCTTCTTCGTCGCTCTCTTATTCTCCCGGCATCCCTCTCGCTCTCGCGCCCGGTCTCTCTACTCGCCTCTTTCGCTTCTCTCTTTTTCGAGGACCGTCTCTGTCCCTCCGAAACCGCTCTCTCCCTCTCTCTCCCTCTCTCTCCCTCTCTCTCTCTCTCTCTTTCTCTCTCTCTCGTTCTCTTTTTCTATCTCACGCTCTCTCTCTCTCTCTCTTTCTCTTTTTCTATCTCACGCTCTCTCTCTCTTTCTCTTTTTCTATCTCATGCTCTCTCTTTCTCTCTCTCTCTCTCTCTCTCTCTTTCGCTCTGTCCTCCTCGCGATCTCTTTCTCTCTTGATCTTTTTCCCTCTCGTCCGTATCGAGCGTCTGCGTCGCGCGCCGCGACGTCGGCTCCCTCGGTCTCCGTTCTCTCCTCTCCGTCCGACCGCTTCGGTTCCCGCTCGGCCGACCCGTTCCAGCTTTCGGAACAAAACCTCCCACTCTAACGATCGACGACGACGCGCTCCTCGACACGACACATAAGGATCGCGCGTAGAACGCTGTGGCGCGCGCCTCCAGCCCGGCAAAAAGAACCCCGTAAAATATCGCTCCGCGCGGCGCAGACTGGCCCACGACCCGACCCAACCCGACCCAACCCTCGCCTCGCCTTGCCTCGCCTCGCCTCGCCTCGCCACGAAACCACCGTGAAAAAGTCGCGGCGGGTCGCGCGACCCACTGCCGCTTCCACTGGAAACATTCGATAACTCAGTCGGCCCGAATCCGCGTCGTGGGTGTCGCTGAAATTTGATTCCCGCCACGAATCTGGAGAACTTCCGGCAATGCGCGCGCAACGGTCGCGCGACGATCGCTCTTGCGACTTCTGATCAACTAGGGATGAACCCTACGGATCTCGAATCTCTGCTACGTAATTTGGCTGATTGAAAGCTGCTCTTCGGTTCAAGATTGACTAAATTACAAAATGAGAAACTGAAGGGTTGATTTTCTTCTTCGTCAGTGGTGGAACATATGTATTTCGTTGCATCGCTCGGTAATGTGTTTAATTAACATCCCGTGAATTGGCAACACGTTTTCCTCAGACTGCGAAGTGAAACTTGGGACTTTCTCAGTTATTATATATAATAGTATATATGTAATATAAAATATAATAATAAAAATATATAATAATATATATGTATTATATATATTATATTTTTATTATATACACTACGCTATTTCTCACTGCACTTGCAATTCGTAAAGAAATCAATAAAGTTTGTTAAATCGCACAATTTCTTACCTTTTCTTCTTACTTTTGCATTGTGTCATTATAAATATATAATCATATTTATATTTTTTTTCATTGTATCCGTGTGATGGCTATACAAATTCTCTTTTTTTTAAACCTCTTCTGCAACGAGGGCTTTTTTACCCGTACACATGAATCAACTATTACAATAATAATAATAATTATTATTATACTTGTTTCATGTATAATAATAGTTATTATTGTAGTTGATTCATGTATAATATTAATTATCGTTATAGTTGACACGTGTAAACGGGTAAAAAACCCCGTTGTTGCAGAAGAAGAAATAAAAAGAAGAGATTTTGTACAGCGATCACACGGGTACGATAAAAATAATAACAATAATAATTATCATGATTAAAACCTCAAATGTATTAAAATACATTTGATGTACTTTGATTATGTGTGTGTGTGTGTATTTGATTTTTGTACTTTAAGAAGTAACATCGAGGATCGAGGCCACAAAATCCAAAATAAATCGCCCAACCAAGAGGCTAAATTCCGTAGAGGCGCAGAACGATTTCGAGAAATCCCGGTTAACATCATCGGGGAAAGGA